GATTTGGAACAAGTGGCTATTAAAACAAGCCCACTGTCTATAACTTGGGGATGATAAGCCCAAGTTACAGGCGATTTGGAACAAGTGGCTATTAAGGGCTTGTTAGGTGGTTTAAAACAACAAGCCCTTTATATGGCATGTAAGGTAAGCCACTGTTCTTCTAGCTGACTGAAGCGCCCAGTGAGACAGGCGGTTTGGAACAAGTAGGCCGTTGCGGAAATAATCTATAAGCCTTTTATTACACTGCTGTGTGTCGTGGTTGACATCACTTAGACGGTGTGCGGTCTGTGAATTGCAGACCGGTGGCGGTTCTTTCACATGCCCGTCGTTTCCTGGTCACGCTGTTTGGGTAGAAAATTGAGTAGAGGTTCCCTTCTCATGCTGTTTTGCTAGGAAATGGCGTAGAGGTCTCGTTCTCGCACTGTTTTCTTAGGAGATGGAGCAGAGGTGACTTCAGGTACTCTTATGGTCGTTATCAAGTTCTCTAGCTTCTTTGATATGATATGAAATGGTGTGCCCAGTGAGGGCAGTGGGCCTGCGCTGGCTGGAAGCAGTGTGGCTGAACAGCTCATTCGTGTGTTCATTCCCTTCCATGCTTTCCTGTGCTTCTTCACTTTTCGTAGCTCAGCATAACTTCAATTCACAGGACTCACAATTGACATGCTGCATGAGGCTGAGCGATGCTGTAGCTTGGCACAGTGCTTCGTGCTGCTTTTTTATTTGTATGCACGACCACTAGCCTGGCAGCGTGCTTTGCCGTGCTTTGGTGTGCATAGTACGGCACAACGGGCAGTTCATTTGTGATATTGCATTGGGCGAAGAGGGGAGGGTAGGTAGCTTCCACGTCCCCTCAGCTTGCCTGTGCTTCGTGTCCTGGTCGGCACTGCCCTCACTGGGCACTGCTTTATTTGGCTGTGATAGCACTACATCATAGGAAGGCGAAGAGCACAGCAGGGTGTGACGGCATTGGACCGATATGCTGTTTAATGCTCTACGGTGCTTTGCCTTGATTTGCTATGCTTCGCTGTGCTTTGGTGAGCTTCTTGAATCTCAAATGCTGCGAAATGGTTTTGAAAGGACAGTAGCTGTAAAATCTCAAAGGCTCTGGCCTTAGTGCGAAAAATGACCAGTTCGGGCCACATGGACCCGAATACCCGAATACCCGAATACCAAGCTGTAAGCAAGAGTGCCTGCGTAGGGGGAAGAACTAGCCAGGTCGACCAAAACTAACCGAAGCAGTTAGGGGGGTTGCCTGCGTAAGGTGAATTATGTGGGAGGGGGGCGAAATGGAACTCGAACACGACTCCATGATGTGGTTGCCCCAAAAGATGAACGAGCAATCAAACCACCTCCCCCSCCCCCCCCCCCCCCCCCCCCCAAAAAAAAAAAAAAAAAAAAACCCCCCCCCCCCCCCCCCCCCCCCCCCCCCCAAAAAAAAAAAAAAAGGAAAAGAAAAAGAACAAAAGAAAAAAGGGCTGTGTGGTCCCCACTCGTTCGGCAGGAATTTGCAACTGGTCTGGATATGCCGGGAGAAACACGAGAAGAAAGGGCAGGATTATGCCACTGGTCTGGATATGTCGGGTGAAATGCGAGAAGAAAGAAGAAAAGAACCGATGAAAACGGACAATTCACCGCCGTTTTGAGTCGTGCCAACGCCCTTTGTCTGATATTGTCTGATAAGTGTGCTACGCTCAGCTGTGTTGTCTTCCCCTCTCCACCCCCCCCATCTTCTTTGCAGGTATGATGGTTTGGCTTGCTTGCCCTGCTGTTTTGTGCTCTGCCGTGCCGTCCTGTACATTTGCTATATGTTGCTGTGCTAGGCCTTGCTATGCTTGCTGGGCTGTGCTTTGCCATGCAATGCTTCGCTGTGTTTTGCCTTGCAATGCTCGTGTCCTTTTTCATGCTGTGCTTTGCTTGTGCTTATGCTATGCTTTACAGTGATTTACAGTGCTTTGCAGTGCTTTGTTTTGCTTATGTTATGCTTTACAGTGCTTCACCAGACTAATACTTCTTTCTCGCGGCTTTTCATCTTTTCTCATGCTTTGGCGTGTCACAGCGTGCTCTGCGATGACCGTAGGATTGACTGTTAAATGGCTGTTGGTTTAATCTCAAACACGACTTATATATAACTCCGTGGTGAGCTATACCATGCTGTAGAATTGATGGAACTCCTTGGTGCGCCACATCACGCTGTAGAATTTGACTGTTGAATCTGGAGAACAACTAAATAAGAACTCTGGGCCGATGGGCAGCAGATTGGCTGGTTGCCCAAAAAATGAACTAGCAACCGGGCTGATTGCCTCTGACAACCCAGTGACCAGCTGAGAGGAATGTGAGAAAAAAGAAACAAACAATGAAAACCAATTCGGCGCCCTTGTTTGCAACCATTTGCACAACAAATTACTGAATGACGAAAAACCTAAACCTGATGCAGCCTGAGGGATGTGCCTGCATTGAATGTCCTATGCTTGGCTGGACATTTTGCTTGGCTCCCGATGGCACTGGGCTTCGTTCAGAAAATAATGAATCCCGTTTGTATTTGTGAAGGGGCAGCGCAGACGCCCGGGTCTGATTCTGCGGTCTCGTGATTTCGGGATCTTACATCCCTATCCTGCTATTCCGAGTCATGAAAGTGGCTCGCTTTGTTTGCATAGAGGGTGATGAAAAGTTTCATTCCTCCTTTCCCCCGGTGGAGAAGTCTGCAAGTTTGGTTGGGTATCCAAGGGGGAGGTAAAATATGCCCACGGTTTGACCATGGAGGTCTGTCCGTGTTAGCTACTGATGGTTGGAAACCTTGCTGTCTGTTCAACAGGTCAAGCTGTCTGGAGCTGCTCTCCGATGTGAATGGGAGCAGTGGTGTGCTTTGGTGCCAACTCTTTGTGGAATGGGTGTCTTTGTTTGGTGATTATTGCGTAAGGAGAATTGGGTGTGGCTAACTTGTGGTACAAGAACTYGGAGTGSAGCCTTTATTGGAGCTAAGCTGGAGCTAAGCTGCAGTTCTCCATAGGAGCTGGCTGTGGCAGCTGAGCCATYCCTATCGCGTCTGGTAGSTKTTGTAACATTTGTGTGAGAGARTATTCATCTCTGGTGTGCCTGGTGGAGGGGAGGTCACTTGCAGTGAGAGGGTTTTGTCTGTTTGCCAGGGAAGTTTGAGGCAATGATGCATGGCAGACCGGGACCTGCTGGGCCATTTTCTGGGCCGATGGGTGGAGGTCCTGGGGKATTCAATGGGATGCGTGCCAAGGCACTGCCTGGTCCTGCTCCGCCTATGTTTGGTGGCGGTAATCCTCACCAAGGTCTTGCTCCTCCAATGACAGTCATGGAACACAAGCTTGCCACTGCACAGACAGAGATGCAGAGGCTGTTGACTGAAAACCAGAGGTTTGCAGCGACACTCATGGCTCTGCGGCAGGAGCACTCAGTAGCTCAAGGAGAAGTGCAGCGCTTGCAACAGGCATTGGCAGCCCATCAGGCTGAGAGAGAGGCAAGCGTCCGGAATCTCATGGAACGGAATGCTGCGATGACGGAAGACCTGCGTGTAATAGAGCCGTTGAAGAAAGAGGTTCATGCTGCAAGAGTGGAGCTGCAAGGTCTTCGAGTGAGATGTCAGGAGGCTGAACAGGCGAGGGTCACTGCTCACCAGCAAGTGCAGGGCATGACAACTGAGTTCAGTCGGGCCCGTCAAGAGCTTAGTCAGCTTGCCACTTTGAGGCAAGAGGCGCAGCAAATTCCAACGCTGCGGCAGCAAATTCAAGGGCTGCGGCAGGAACTGCAGCAAGCTCGCACCCAGCTTGAACAGGAGAAGAAGTTCAACTCCGAACAAATTGACAACACTCAACGGTTGGAAAGCAACCTTGTCTCAATGGCAAGGGAGAATGAAAAACTCCGCGCACAACTCACGATTGCTGGCAGGACGGCTGGTGGTGGTGGCAGTGGAGCCCTGGGATGGAGCTCTGGTGCAACCACTAGGGACTACACTAGCGGCGTATGGTAACCTGAGCAGTTTTGGCCCCCTCCGTGATGCCTCCTCTCCCTGTTCTCCTTCCCGTTTACCCTTGGTGGTCCAATGTCAGGCTGTGCTGCAGTATGCAGTTCCACACTGACTCGTTTGTTGACTGGTAGCCCTAGACCATAGGACAATTTGTGCGCATGCCCGGGAGTTGCATAGTCATCCATGAATGGATGCGAGATCACTTTGAGCGGGCAAGAGGACACACCGTTCTTCTTCATTGAGTATGCCAAACAGTAGTACGGTCTGGAGCAGTGGCAGTAGATCCCTTGTTATGCGGTTTTCAAACCAAGTGTATTCAGATTGGCATTGCAGATGCTCTCCTCCTTTGAGAGAGCCCCTTTCTGTCTCGGTGGGTGGCCTGGGTATGACCTTTACCCTTTTCGACAGGCCGCGGTGAAGATCAGGAAAGGTTGACTTGCTCAGGAGATGCAGCCATCATGAAAGGCATGCTGTCTCTAGGCAAAGATTTCTTCCCTCTGGGTAAGCTTTCTTTCTGTCGATGAGCGGCGGGCCTGAGCCCACCTGTAGGTCAGCTGCTGCCAGCCTGTTCTGTAGGCGGACTGCTTCTAGGTTTTCTTTGGGGAAGCCTTCTTTCAGTCGCTACTTCGCTTCCGGTTGTTGATTCTYGTTAATGTYGGAAATGGAGCCCTTCTTTGCAGAACAGGGTGCCCTGATACGTCCTATAAGCCGATTTCTGCTTGGTATATGAGTGTATACACCAGCTGTTCTCTAAGTATTACGAGGGTATTTGCCTGCCGTGATGTTTTCAAAGTGCYGGAAGSAATGAAAAGAGATCTCAGTTAGATTTATTTGCCTATTTGCCCTTCCTGGAATGAACCTAGTGCTCTTGATCAAGGCCTGAAAGAATGAATCCAAGTTCCTATGGCAGGTCTCTCCGTCCTCCTCCGTTGATGRAAATTATTGTTTTGTGTCCAAGTGGCAGACCTTGCAGTACAGTGCTGGCGTGCTCCCTCTGTACCATTACCTATCAAGTAGACTTGTTTTTTGTGTTTAGCGAAAGAGGCTAGTAGCGGAGGTGGGTGGCCTTGAGACCTTTGGTGAGAAGGCAGCCTGTTGTGCATGGGGTTGCTGTGGGGTTGCTGTTCCCAGATTCAGCGGCCTGGCCCGCAACAATCAGCAAGATCAGTGTCTCGTCGAGCAGGTTGAAGTTCACCCCTGCTGGTTATGACCTTGCTGAGTTTGCTGTTTCAGGGGTCGGCTGAGTTTCCTGCTAAGTAAGCAAGGACAGTGCTGGGTCAAGCGGAGTAATTTCACTTATGTGGGCTAGTTAGTGGCTGATTGTTCGCTTAGCTTGTGGTTAACCCACTCTTGGCTCCGAGCGTGGTTAACTCAAGTGCCCACATGCCCAGGTCTATTAATTGACTGAGCAGAGTGTGTGTGCACTTAGATTGCCCAACATCCGTTCACCTGATGGGCTAGCTCTTGCAACGGGCCGCCATCCATTTACCACATGGGCTTGACAACTGGCGAGAGATAAGTGGTTGGCCCACATGCAAGCTGCCAAGGCAATTGATTGATTCCGGACTCGCACAGTGATGGGCTGGCTGTGTGGGAATATCAGTTTGAGAATAAACAAATGTTGGTTGTTTCACATGCGTTTTTAAAATAATGCGGAAGTGAGCAATCTACCATTCAATCTCCTCACCTGATACCCCCTGCCCCCCTCGCTTTCGTGCACCTCCGTGCCTTTTTCAGTTTGATCTCTTTGGAAGTTAAAGAAATCGACAGTGTGGCCAATCACCCACCTGCCTCCTGGTGTTTAGGTGGCCTACTTAGAATCAAGAATAGACGAGCAGCTGTAGTGACCCACCGATTTCGTGCTTTGAGAAAGCGTTAGTTCCATGTCAAGTCTAAATGCCTTCGCACTCGAGCAGGATGAGAGGGGGATATGTGCCACCACGGAAGATATAAAATGGTTGTAAGACATACACGAACACGTGAACGAGTTATATGAGGGGATTGGAATTCAACTGATGTGGAGGTGTACTTGTGGTGATCACATAGGTACACGATGTGCCTGTCAGACTGATCAGCAAAGTCAGCGATCTATTGGTTGATACAAGAGGGGCTCGACTGTGTTGATATCTGATTGATAAATTTACATGTGATGTAGCATGGTATTCCTGGTTGGTGGGTACTTGCTTAGCCCGTGAGAAATAGGTGACGGACATGAGAGAGGGAGGGGGCGCATGACAAGTGGGCGAGGGAGGGGGGACTTGACTAGTGGGAGACAATAAAGTTGGGTCAGGTGATGGGCACTGAAAGTAAAAGCTGCAGGATTTTGTTGTCGTAGACAGATGAGTAGCTAATTGGTGTCGTGAGTGGAGGAGGAGGGATGGAGCATTGTGATCTATTGCCTTTTTTGTGGAAAAACAAAATTGAGGTTTCTTGCCAGCTGTGATACAGATAGCCGGGTTTTGTGAGATGCAATCTTTCAACAGCCACGTGTCGTGCGCTTTGACACCAGGTTGATCAGCCTTGTTTTCTTTCCAGAGGCAGTAGAATTTCTGAATGTCTCTTGCTCTGGCAGGAGAAGAGTGTCCGTATTGATATAAACTCCGACGAAACAGTTTGTCACATCCCCTCGTTTGTTGTCCTCTTCTCCCTTTCTGCCTACGGTTTACTGGGCAGTTCTATTTGACGATATATATATATTTGACAATATCTATATAGATATATATATTGCGACGATATATATATTGTTTGTCTACGTGGTTCAGAATGTGAAAGTGTCAGGATTTGTTGGAATGCGGAAAATGAAGTTGGTGCTAAAAAAATTCTCGAACTGGCCAACGACCGAATTTCATGCTTGTACTAAAAATGTGCAGTGTCGTCCTTCAGGACATCCGTTAAAATTGGAACGATACACAGAAGATTAGCGTCGCCGCTGTGCAAGGATCACACACATAAATCGAGAAATGGTCCAAAATGTTTATAAATGTGCAGTGTGAATTATAGGCCCAGCTCTGGTCGGAGTTTCTTTGGAAATTCTGGTTCAAGTTTCGGACCTGTCACCCTGTGGATTGTCGGTCTTTTTGTAAGATTGGTCTACTGTTCAAAACTCACAAGTCGCCATAACCCTTAGTATATTTGTAAACAATGGCTGCAGGTTTGAGCACTGCGTAGTACTAAGTTGTCGTAGACTGGAGCAATTGTCCCCCCCCGCAAAAAAAAAAAAGTTGTCGTAACCCTGCATTATCTTGGTAACAGCAGTCATACACTGATTGCTGAAAGGTCTGAGCAATCATATATTCAAAGTTGGCTTAGGAATGAACGGGCTAGTCGATGTGTTTACTATAGCATAGCGGTGTTGACGACAGTTTGGAGGACTATTGCTGAGTAAATGTCTGACGAGATGGAGAATCGCACTCCGAAGAAAAACTTTGATTGTTTGTGCAGGTACTCTTCTTCTGTGCAAAGCTCTGCCTTATGTGTGACAGAGCTTCTTTCAGCTGGTCTTGTAGCTAGGTACTCTGCGGGGTGTTGTACAGCTAGTAGCTTCAGGGCATGGTTAGCAAAGAGGAGCATAGTGGAGACCTCCCTGGCGGCAATTTCATCGTCAAGAACTTGGAAGGCAGGAGTTGCTGGAACTTGTAGTGGTAGGAAACCGCCAGTTCATCAGGAGAATTCGAATGAGCCTCTTAGGGTACGCAGGACAGGGCTCGCTTGGAGGCAGGCATAATTTTTTGTTGTTGTTCAGGGCTGGGCCTAGTGCCACCCATGGCATGGGACAATTTGTTTCCTTCTGGTCCTTCGGGCGCCCCTTCCCGAGACTCCTAAATTTTAGGTGAGGTTCAATAGCCATTCTCAACTTGGCTGGGGCCATGTACTGGTCCTTTAAGGACCTGATGACTCTCAATGATGCTTCAGCCAAGAGGGTAGAAGTTGGCATGATTCTGTCCCTGAATCTGTGGTGCAGGGTAGTGCAGATCCCACAGCAAACGGCATGTAGGGCGTGTCCAGCGTCTCAGTCGCAGGAGCTTCTGGGTGTGACGGCGGGCTTAGTATCTTCAGAGGCTCTGTGCTATTCTGTGGCAAGTTTTAAGAATGGACGTGTTCTGGTATAGGACGTCGACAGTTGCCTGAGTAGGACGTCATTTGCAGGAGGTGGTCTAGGAGAAAGCTCTTGGGGGTGAGAGCCTTGGATGCTATCAGAAGCCTCCTTTTGCACAGGTTTAGGCTGCAGTCAGCTCTGTCTCAGTTTCGCAGAAATGGCAGTAAACTACTTCAGATGTTTAGCTAGGGCAACATTGGGAGAAAGGCTGGCGGAAATTTCTTTGGGTCAGGAGGAGCTTTGTGTGCAGGTGCTGCAGTATGCCTTAAACCACACAGCTCTGTTCCAGCTTAGCAGAAAGCGCACAGACCTGCCTCTCAGTATGGAGCAATTGCATGCCCATTCCAAACAGAATAGCATGCAGTTTAGCAAGGAATGTCAGGATCTTTCGATGCAGGAGGTTTATGAACTGCATGCTTTTCTGTGATGACTTGGAACACGTGGTTTGGAGCAGGCCCACTCGAAAAGGTACATATAGAACATAATGTTTTCTAGATAACTTGTACTCACCGGAGGCTTTGGGAAGGGGCTTGACGGAGAAGAGGTTCGAGAAGATGATGTTTGTGTCTGAGGTCTTGTAGGGGAGGCTTAGGGCTCACACTCGCTGACACTAACTTCACATTCAGCAGGTCCTGTATCAGGAGCCTTAGGGCTGACCCTCTACTATCTGTGAGCTTGTTCATGCCAATTTTGGAAAATTATGGCATTTGGTGTGAACAGGTTCGTTGTAGGGGAACTTTGAACCACCACCACCACCCCTGGACCTACTCTGTAGGACCTAGCGTTCACACCAACCCTGGCCTTCCCACCACATCCTCGAACGCATTCTCTTGAACCTGGTGCTTACACCACCAGGGGCTTCCCCTTCCGGAGTGGTGAGGTGAACCAGCTTACAGCAAGGGAGGGCAAAGACACACATTCAACTTGTGACAAAGCTTATTTGGTGGCAAAATTGAATTTTCTTGTTTTCGTAGTGGTTTTCTCCAACACAGTAGAACCTACCCTATGTCCGAGGTTTCTTTTCAAATTTTTCTCAAACGTGAAGAGAATAAAGTGCCAAAGTTTAGGCACTCAAATTTTATGCCCTCTTCCCAGCACCCCCCTTGGACCTGGTGTGCTGAACCTGCTGTGGCCTAGATGTATAGTGGCACAAATTCGGTGTGGCATCGGAGGTAGTGGTGGTTTCAAAGGATGGTTAGAAATTTGGCAATGCTATTCCGTAACTTGAAACGTATGAAGGCCACACACACACACACACACACAC